TAGAGAGCAAAGTAAAGGAATTCTAACTGGAGAGCACAGCTTGAGGTGTGGAAGCAGTGTTTGGTGGAACAGTGAAGTTCGCCCCATGTTGACTCTCTTCCCCCTCTTCCTAAAGAGGCAAGTGTCCTATCTGTTCCGTTTTGATGGGAAGTTAAGACTAGTCAGACACTTCTTGTTTGGACACCTAGAAGGTCTCAAAGCACATCAAAGCAGGCAAGATTTCTAAGGCTTATCACATATTTGCTGTAAAAGGAGCAGCAGGCAGCTTCCCACAGCCCAACTCCCAGCCACCTGGCTAGCTAGCTCATACCCCGAAATAACAACACACAAATTGTATTCATTTAAACACTTCCTGACCCATTAGTTCTAGCCCCTTATTGGCTAACTCTCACATATTGATTCAACCCATTTCTAATAATCTGTATCGCCACTTGACTGTGGCTTACCAGCATGAGTCTAACCAGCGTCCATCTCAAAGAGAAGAGCCATGGCGTCTGCCTGACTCTGCTTTGTTTCTCCCAGCATTTTGTTCAGTCTACTCCATCTATCTAAATTCTGCCCTATCAAAAAGCCAAGGCAGTTTCTTTATTTGACCAATGAAAGCAACACATAGAAAAAAGACCCTCCTACACCACATATTAAGTTTGCATGTCTATGAAAATAGAAGACAAGTTTACTAGGAAAGTGACATTGATTGACAGGGTCCAACCAAATCAGCACAAAGGAGGTGCTAATGCTTAAGAAGTACAATATGGGGCCAGCAAGATGGATTATTGGATAAAGTCCCTTGTTATCATGCCTGATGTGTAGGCCAAGCCTGATGACTTGATGAAAAGAATCAAACACATACAAACACACACACACACAGCATCATCAGCATCAACATCATTATCATGCACATTATGACCCTCATGTGCTCATATGTAGAAACATACCAATGCACTACATAAATAAAGGTTAAATACATTTTCAAAGTAGTACAGTATGTCCTTTAGCAAGATGCATGTTTTCTCTTACTTACAGGTCCTAGATTTTATATAGTTACATTAAATCATTTGTGTACATGAAAACAGGAGAATGGTCTAGGGAAAAGAAAGGGATGGATGAGAGAGAAAATAATAATAAATAGGAAGATGGTGCTTATCTAAAAGACGAATAAACTCAAGATGTACACATACCTCCATGAAAATAGCCTTATAATAAAAGTTTTAATGCTGGCAATAAGGCCCTCTCCAACATTTATGGGTGATTTTAACATAGGTGTAGTTGACATGCTCTTCTTGTGGGTCAGTATAGATTTGCCTGATGCACATCAAGGGCAAACCATGTCTAAACCTAGCGGAGATAGCACCACATAGTGATTAGCTCTGAGGTCAGGTGGCTTTGATTCTAAACACCAAATCGTATGTCTGTTAAGTTTAACCTTTCTAGGTAACATAAACTCACTTGGCATCAATTCTTTTCCCTGCACACAAAGCCAACCGCTGTGCTTGCCTTAGGAGGCTGTGATGAGACTTAGATAAAATGGTGTATTGTCCACCTGTGGCATGGACAGCCTGGCTCCATGGAGGGTAACACAGATCAGCAGAGGAATCTGACTTCCTCTGCATTCACACTCCAACCCAAACCCTTCCTTGGATCCTTAGTGCTGTTCTTTGGTCAGAGTTTTGATTTCCTCATCAGTACACAAGTGACAAGAGCAAAAGGCTGTTATGAAATTCAAAATTTGCGATTATCAAAGTACGTGACCCACACCGTAAGGTACAAAAAGACATCTGGGGTTTGCAGCTTTACCTCAGAGGCAAAGCACTTGGCTAGCAAGCACAAGGTCCTGGGTTCATTCCTCAGCTCCAAAGGGGTGACGGGGGTGGGGAAGAAAAAGGGGAAAGTTACAAAAAGACCATAGTTATTTATATATAATCCATACTTGCAGCCAAATAAAATTTTCAGTAGTCACAGTTGCCAAATATTTTAAAATTAACTTGGGGAGAGTTGCTTGAGTTCTGGGGTTCATGGCTAGCCGCTAATACAAGTCTGTGTCTCCAAAAGCAAATAAGAAAGGAAAAAAAAAATCAAGTAATAAATGCATGATGTTAAAAATGTTAAATGTTCAATAACTTTCCCTATAAAGCAAATGGACTTTTCAAACTCCATGAAGACTTTGTCTCAGACCAGTCAGAATGACTGCCATCCAGAAATGAGGAGTGAGAGAGAGGATTTTGGGGGAGAGAAACCCTTCAACACTGCTGCTGGCGTTGAGATCTGACTTAGCTCAGTGGACTACGGAACTCAGTTCCCAGAGCGAGCGAGTGAGCGAGCGAGAGAGAGAGAGAAAGAGAGAGAGAGCATGTGCTCCAGGCTTGCCATTTAGGCTCATATACAGAGGAAAGTCAACTTATTGTAGCAGTACCTGGACCCCGACATTTATTACTACAGCATCCACAATTGCCATGTCATAAAATTAACCTAGGTGCTTCTCAACAGGTATCTAAGTGGAGAACATGTATCTATCTACACATGGAGTTTTATCAAACTATAAGCGTGAAATTGTGGCATTTTCAGTAAAATGTACAGACCACAGGGTCCTGGGGTAAGTGAAATAAGCCAGGCTCGAAAAAGACAGCATCGTGTGTATCCCAGGCAGGACATTACGGTTGTGGAAGTGGAGAGCGGAATAGGAGTAACTACGATGAAAGCTTATATTCAGGTGGTAAAAGAATATGATAAAATCCATTAATTTACACAATTTATGTTAATCAAAAATCAAACGCAGCGCAGTAAGTGGACAGGAAAACTGGTTTGTCACATTTGCTCTCCCTCCATCCCTGCCCATTTTCCTTTATTTCTGTGCCCTGGACTCACATGTATAAATGATAGTTTTCAGTTTTAGCATCTCTTCTCCGTTTTGAGCTCGTTTCCCTAGAATCTGGGCTAAGAGAACACTTAACAACTACTTACTGCTGACTACGTCCTCAAAACCCGGGGCTCTAAATGTCGTCTCTCACCAGAGTCTCAGGACAACCTAAGGACACAGACAGCCCCATGTCCTTCATACATGAAGAACCGAGGCACTGCTAGTTATATTAAACAAGTCCTACTCATAGAAATAGATCAGTCTAGAATTTTAGCCTGAAAGGCCTCACTCCAGAATGCATCTGTCTTGATTTTTTTCTACAGTTAAGTTTGAGTCTCAAGTTTATCTCAAAGTTTAATGGGTAAATGTGGTGTAAAATTCTATTCTCAGGGACAAACTGATGAGCCATAGCATAATAAACTAATTAGAAATTTTACCTGGAAACAACCTAAATGCCCCTCAATCGAAGGATGGATAAGAAAAATGTGGTACATTTATACAATGGAGTACTACACAGCAGAAAAAAATAACAACATTCTGAATTTTGCAGGAAAATGGATGGAGCTAGAAAACATCATTTTGTGTGAGGTAACCCAGAGACAGAAAGACAATTATCACATGTACTCACTCATAGGTGGTTTTTAAACATAAAGCAAAGAAAACCAGCCTAAAAACCCCAATCCCAGAGAACTTAGACAACAATGAGGACACTAAGAGAGACTTACACTGATCTAATCTACATGGGAAGTAGAAAAAGATAAGATCTCCTGAGTAAATTGGGAGCATGGGGTCCTTGGGGGAGGGTTGAGGGGAAGGGAGAGCCAGAAGGGGAACAGAGAAAAATGTAGAGCTCAATGAAAATCAACTAAAAAGAAGAAATCAATCAATAAATTTATATTGTTCACAAGAAAAAAAAAGAAATTTTGACACATGTAAAGGAAGGCCAGCTAGAGGTGATAACTTTGGAGGAAGAATTTGAAAACAGAGTCAATCTGGATCCCAAATTTGGTTAGCTATGTAAATTTGAAAGACAGCTATGTCATCACTGTAGCATCACCTAAGCTAGTCACTTAAATTTGGATAAATGATGTGGTCACTCTGAGCTCCAGTTTCCCCAGCTAGAAAATGAATGTTCAACTTTTGGAAGAACTCAACAAACCACATTTAGAAAAATATTTTTCTCCAGGTAATTTCAACAGATGTATACATTGGTAATTGTATCTATTTATAGGATACAGTGTGACTTCTCACAGAAATGTGGATGAATGATGGAAACAAGGTAACCACATATCTACCATCTAAGATATTTATCATTTCTCACAGAGAATACTCAAAATCCTCTCTACTAGCTTCGGTTATCTTATTTTGCAATAAAACATTAGAAGTTATTCATTCTTTGTCATATCCTGGTACTCAATAGGCATCCTCTCTCCATCCCTACCTCCCCATAATGTTTCCCAGATTCTGCTAAATACCATCCTATGCTTCAAAACATATCAATGAGAGCATATGGCATTGGTGTTTTGTGTCTGATAGTTCACTTTTGCAATGCTTTAAGGAAGCCTTTCTATCCTGGGGTCACAAGAGTGAGGGGGCTAGCCTGGCCCTGCCCCTCACCAGCTGTAGCACATCGGAAAGCAGGTCCTGCAGTCCACCTGGACAGCACACTAGATTTTATCTTGTTGTGGGGCGGGGGGCAGGTGAGCCAATCCTGAGGATGTGAGAGCAAAAGAACTTACCCCCACCTCATAAATCCCCTGCAACAGTGGGAGAAGGGGCCCTGCACCTCTCCTGGGCAAAATAGTGGAACTGCTACTGGTGGTGTGAGTGTAAGTATGAGTGTGAGTGAGTATGAGGAGTGTGTGTGA